TTGATATTCTCACCAAGCCTCTCCTGAGCCGACAGCACGATTAGCTCAGTTCCAAGCTTCCGTTCGCTTCCGCTCAGCTCAGCTTGAGGGGGGATAATAACATATAGTATTAAATAATATTAGTATTTACTGTGTACTAATCCAAGTCCTATTAGGATTAGTACTCCTTAATTCTAGTCCTATTAGGATTAGTACTCCTTCCTATATCTCCTATATATATCTCCCATGTATTCCCTTATTAGGTTAACACTTCAATACAATCAATATTCCTTCAATAAGTTATCAAAAATTGCATAACATAATTAAAATGTGTATCTTATAGATGCTAAGTGCTTTAGGTACCAATTTATTATTATTATTATTATTTTATTTTATTTTTTGGTTGAAAATTACCAATTTATTATTAATTTCATAAGCTTACCTTTTTCTTCCACAAAAAATAATGTCTATTTAACTTTCTCAATCTAATAAATCTTGCAATAGCCATGTTCGATTGCTTTGATCTTTTCAATTTGAATATTAATAATTAATTATTATATGCTTCTAAAATGATAGTGGTAAGAAAAAAATACAATTTATTTATTTTTTCTTTTTCTTGTGACGTTTATGATATTACTTAAAAAATTAAAATCATGAAGATAAAAAAGACTATTGGCTGCTAAAATATAATATGGTTAAAGATAATTAATGTAACAAGACATTATAATAAATTACTTTTATAAAATAGAAAACAAAATTTGAATATTTCTTACCCGCCATTTGTTTTTTTAATTATTTGAATATAATAATTATATTTATATTTTCAGCCCCCAAATGTGACCGTTATACATACAAACTCTCTTCTCTTCTTCTTTACCATTCTCACACAAAATTTGTGACCGTTTTCTTCATCATCTAAGACAAAGCAGAGGGGTTCTCTGGTGATTTTTGATAGAGAAAACGTTTTCTTCTTCGGTTGTGGCATCAAGCGACCGTTTCAGTGGTGGAATCTTTGTTGCGGTTCGAAAAAATGTAACCCTTTTCTCCTTTGTTGTGGAATCTCTGTTTCTGATTTTTAAGTTTTCCATGTATTTTGATTTACCGATATTCATTGCATAGCTGATCTGTCTTTCTTTGATTCCCTTGTTTAAGCATATAAATGGAGTCTTTGGCTTCAGAATCCTTTACAGATTAAAGTATGATCTTGGTACTATGGTTTTTGCTTCAAACATCGCTTACATTTCTTTAAGTTTTAGTGTTGCTGGTGGACCTTCTAGTTTAGGATCTGTTCAATCTCCAACTGGAACCTTAGGATATTATGGATTTTGAATATTCAAACCAGTTTTGGGTATTATCCACTATTAGTATAGATTAATTTTGAGTATAGTTTTAGTGTTGCATTCAATGACTTGTTTTCTTTGATTTGATTTTCAGTCTTAGTTCACTGTTTGTCTAAGTATCTCTTGAATCTGTGATGTATTTTGGTTTACTCGTCTGTGGATCTTTATCGCATATGCTTATCAGTCTTACTTGGTTGAAGTGCTTTAATCACTGTTTGAGTCCCTTGTTTAACAATATAATAATGGATTGAGAATCCTTTACAGATAGAATTATGTTCTTTCAGCTAGGATTATTGATTCAAACATATTGCTCTTTTGTTGCCATTTCTTTAAGATTTAGTGTTAGTGTAGATTTATGTTTAAAATTTGTGCTCTTAAGGGATAGAAAGGATATTCATCGAGTCAGCTCATCTTGTTCGAGTGAAAGCGGAGCAAGTATGCAAAGAAAGAGAGTTGATGGGTTGTATATGTCCAATATACAGGGGAAGTAGATTTTATACTTTCCCTTGGGGGTGCTGCAAATGTTGTTGCTTCTAGTGTAGGATCTGGTCTAATATCCAACTGGAACCGTAGGATATGGGATCAAGGTTATCGTTATAGGGGTTATGCTGGTAACGAGGGTGCTTATGGAAATCAATCAGGTTATGGCGTTGTTGGACGTGCCAGTGTTGTTCCTAGTGGTAGCACCTGTTGGAGGTGGTGCCGCTGGAGACATCCAATCAGGTGTTAGGTGTTACATGAACAGTGGCTATGTTGAGCCACTTTTGCGTTTCACATGCAGAGTGCTGCTCTTGCGTTTCACCTAATTAAGACTGGTTGGATTGCTTGAATCCCTAGTAGTTTGCAGTATTTATTTCTAGTTTATTAGTATTGTCGCTAGTATTGCGTATTTCATGTTATTGTTGTTAAGTGCAGTCTAATCTCACTTGCTTATGCTTATCTTTGTTAGTTATTGTGGTTCTAGTCCAGATATATTTTGGCTTCTGTTATACTTGCATGAATTTACTTTTTGATTGAGCCATCAGTTGGGAAATTATTATATGAAGTGGATTTTAACCTATCTTCTGAAGCAGGTAGATGGTTTGGTGTTGTTATTTTAATTGTCACATAAAAAGAAAAATTTAAATAAGAAGAATAGATCACTTCCTATTTTGAGAATGACATAATAATTTCCCCTTGTATTTGACCTTGTGTTGTGCAGGAGGAGAGGCCTGAGTACTGGGTGCTGGAGATGTTGCGTAAAGATTGGCTTGTTTGATGGGTTATTGTCATGAAAGTTGTCGAGGTGAAGCAGACCAAGGCCAAGCAGGGGCTGCGGAGTTGTATTTTCTGCAGGGTGAGAATAACAGCCATCCCAAGTGCTTATTTTTTTTGACACGTAGTTTACACAATATGATTCAGTTATAAAATCATAATTCTGATGTGTTTTCATTTGTTTTTGTATGTGACACCGGCATTGAGACTTATTCGAGTGAAAGGAGAAGTAGATGATACACACTAGTATATTATATACAGTGATGGGCAAAGGCTAAATTGCAGCAGCAGAGACCCAAACCCTCAGTATAGCCCAAAAAATTGTGACTTCCTTCCTCCCAATTTTTTATAGCTTTAATTGTAATTATTTGCATAAATCTAACTTAAGCTTTAGTTTAATTTAATTAGATTCTCCTTAAGATATCTATTGTCTTTTAACATTGATTAACTTCACCTAATTATTCTAATAAAATACTTCACTTTAACTAATGACTATTTTTAATTGATCAATATTTTCGGTTAATAACCTAACCATATTGATAGTTGTATGAAAAGCATTTGATTATAAAAAAAGTTTTATATAAAAATTAATATTCGATTGGCTTTTTA